AAAGGATCCGAGTCCAAGCACAGAAAAACTCTTAAAAGATGATTGGGGAGGGGCTGGTGAGTGGCGTGGCGGTTCAGGGTACTGGACTCCTACATGGCCGACCGTGGTTCGAGTCCTGGAACTCGTGGCCTGTTTTCTCTCTTTCCCCTTCTCTCTTTCTCACTCTGTCTCATCCTGGTCAAATTAAAATAAATAAATAAAGTTAAATTTTAAAAAATATTTTTTTAAAAAAAGATGGATGGAGAAGCTAAAACAAACATACAGAACTAGCAAAGAAGTTGACTATGAAAATCAAAGAATTAGCAGTTCCGGACCCCAGGCGGACTGAGGCTGCAGGCCCGACCCTACCGCAACTCCACGTATCCCCACCATCCTTCCTCCTTGGACTCCAGGTTGGTTGCCTGGGACTTTAAGGCGAACCCACACCCCTCCCCACCCGAAACCCGGATCGAGCCGGCCAGCAGTTCCGGACCCCAGGCGGACTGAGGCTGCAGGCCCGACCCTACCGCAACTCCACGTATCCCCACCATCCTTCCTCCTTGGACTCCAGGTTGGTTGCCTGGGACTTTAAGGCGAACCCACACCCCTCCCCACCCGAAACCCGGATCGAGCCGGCCAGCAGTTCCGGACCCCAGGCGGACTGAGGCTGCAGGCCCGACCCTACCGCAACTCCACGTATCCCCACCATCCTTCCTCCTTGGACTCCTTTGTACTATTTGAATTTTGGTGATTTGAGTAGCGCGCGGCACCCGTTGCGTGCCGCGTGATTTTCTTTTTCCATTTTGTGTTTCTTTCTCTTGGGGTGTTGCTTATTTGGTCAGTTGAAGGCTCACCACTCCTTAGAAATATCGAGGACTTTGGGCCTCCCAGGGCTAGTGGCAACAGTTAATGGTAATTGTGAGTAATAGGTAGGCCAACCATAAGAGAAATCATCAAGCTTCTAAGCCTGTACAACTTTTATGAATCAGAGATACCTGAAATAAGTTGGCAAGAAACATATAGATTACCTGATGACTAAAAACAATCGCAAAGGCTCAAGAAATATGAGCAACCAACAAAAGGCCTCTCCGTCAAGGGAAATCATCAATCCTACATCACCCACAGTCAATACAATGGACGTCGTGGACATGTCTGATAAGGAATTCAGAATATTTGTAGTGACCAAACTAACTGAGATGGAAGAGAAAAGAGACAAGGAGCTCCAGGAGATGAGGAAGTCCTTTAATGACTTGAAAGAAGAAATGGATACCCTAAACAAGAACCAGATGGAACTTCTAGGTTTGAAGAATGTGATACAGGAAATCAAAACCTCCCTTGAAAGCATTAAAAGTAGGTTAGACCAGGCAGAAGACCGAATCTCTAACGTAGAAGACAAAACATCTGACCTAGATAAAAGTATCAAGAAGATTGAGAAAACAACCATGAAAAATGAGGATAATATACGAGGAATACTGGACACCATCAAGCGCCCCAACATTCGGATAATTGGTATTCCGGAGGAGGAAGAAAATAATAAGGGCCTGGAAAATTTATTCCATGAGATCCTGGAAGAAAACTTTCCAAATCTAGAAAGGCATTCAAATATCCAGACCCAAGAAATACAGAGGACCCCAAGTAGAATCAACCCAAGAAGATCATCTCCAAGGCACATCATAGCCAGACTGGCAAAAACAACAGACAAAGACAAGATACTAAAGTTGGCAAGAGGGAAACGCCAGGTTACTTACAAAGGTCACCCCATCAGGCTAACATCGGATCTCTCAGCAGAAACAATGCAGGAAAGGAAAGAATGGGGAAGCATAGTCAAAGTGTTGAGTGAAAAACAATTTCAACCAAGAATACTATACCCGGCAAAATTATCTTTTATATGGGAAAAAAAGATAAAAACATTCTCAAATAAACAAAATTTGAAGGAATTTACCAACACCAGACCAGCTCTTCAAGAGGTTTTGAAGGGAGTACTATACCAGGAAAACTAAAAAATCAGAGACAGTTATACGAGAACAAAAAACAACTAAGAAAATGGCTCACTTAATGATAGGATCAGGTATGGAAATATCGATAATTACATTGAATGTCAATGGATTAAATTCCCCAGTTAAGAGACATAGACTAGCTGAATGGATAAGAAAACAGAAACCCTCTATCTGTTGCCTACAAGAAACTCACTTTATGGATAAAGATATACATAGACTAAAAGTCAAGGGCTGGAAAAAGATATTCCATGCAAATGGAAATCAGAAAAAGGCTGGAGTAGCGATATTGATCTCAGACAAAATAGATTTTAAAACAAAGACTGTAAGAAGAGACAAAGAAGGGCATTATATAATAGTAGATGGGGTAATCCAGCAAGAAGATATAACCCTTATAAATATCTACGCACCCAACTCAGGTGCGCCTAAATATGTGAAGGAAAGACTGCTGGAGCTAAAAGGAGACATAGGGAAAAATACTATAATTGTTGGAGATCTCAACACCCCGTTATCTCCTATAGACAGATCTTCTAGACAGAAAATAAATAGAGAGATACAGGACTTAAATGATACTATAAATGGAATGGGCTTGACAGATATCTATAGAACTTTCCACCCTACATCCACAACATATACATTTTTCTCACCCCGACATGGAACCTTTTCAAAGATAGATCATATATTAGGACACAAATCAAGCCTTTACAGATTCAAAGGCATAGAAACTGTACCCAGCATCTTCTCTGACCATGATGGAATTAAACTCAAGATTAATTTCAAGAAACAACCCCGAAAACACACGAACACATGGAAACTGAACAACCTACTTCTGAATGACTTCTTCACTACTGAAGAAATTAAGGCTGAAATAAACAAATTTATGGAAACAAATGATAATGAGGACACAAGTGTCCAGAACCTATGGGACACAGCAAAAGCAGTCATAAGAGGGAAATTCATAGCAATTAGTGCACATAAGAAAAGGATGGAAAGATGGCAAGTAGATAACTTATCATCATGCCTCAGAGAACTGGAAAAACAACAACAAACGAACCCCCAAAATGCCAGGCGAAAAGAAATAATAAAGGTTCGAGCAGAAATAAATGAAATAGAAAATAAACGAACCATACAGAAAATAAATGAAAGCAAAAGCTGGTTCTTTGAAAAGATCAACAAGATCGATACTCCATTGGCTAGACTGATCAAGAAGAAGAAAGAAAGAAACCAGATTAATCAAATATGTGATGAAACAGGCAATATTACCACGGACATAGCAGAAATACATAATATCATTAGAGGATACTATGAGCGACTTTACGCCAACAAACAAGATAACCTGGAGGAGATGGACAAATTCCTGGATGCATATAAACTACCAAGATTGGATCAGGAAGACATAGAGAATCTGAATAGACCTATAACAAGCCAGGAGATTGAATCAGTAATTAATAATCTCCCAACAAAGAAAAGCCCAGGCCCAGATGGCTTCACTTGTGAATTCTACAAAACTTTCAAGGAAGAATTAACCCCTATCTTACTAAAATTATTTCTAAAGATTCAAAAG